AGGCATTGGAGGGCCCCCTGAAGGGCATCCTGGGCTATACTGAGGACCAGGCTGTCTCCACCGACTTTAACAGTGACACGCATTCTTCCACCTTCGACGCTGGGGCTGGCATTGCCCTCAGTGACTACTTTGTCAAGCTCATTTCCTGGTATGACATCAAATATGGCTACAGCAGTAGGGTGGTGGACCTTATGGTGCACATGGCCTCCAAGGAGTGAGAGCCCCCAGGACCACCAGCCCCAACAAGAGGAAGAGAGAGGCCCTCAGCTGCTGGGGAGTCCCTGCCCCAACTCAGTCCCCCAGCACACTGAGAATGTCCCCTCTTTGGCACAGTTTCCATCTCAGACCCCCTGAAGAAGGGGAGGGGTCTAGGGAGTCCTACCTCGTCATGTACCATCAATAAAAGTCCCCATATGCAAAAAAAAAAAAATTGGAAAGGAGAAAATACCTCACAACTAATTCTATGAAGCCAGCGTTAACCCTGATGTTGGGAGGAAAAAAAAGACATTGCAAGAAGAAAACCACAGACCATTGTCCTTCATGAACACTTAACGCAAAAATCTAAACTAAAATGAACTTGGATTCATACCTTACACAAAAATTAACTCAAAATGGATGACAGATTAAATGTAAAACCTAAAACTATAAAACTTCTAGAAGAAAACATGAAAAAAAAAGACCTTAGAGATCTTGGGTAAGGCAAGGATGCCTTAGGTATGATACCAAAAGCACAGTCCATAAAAGAACAAATTATTAAGCCGGACTTTATCAAAATTAAAAACTTCTGCTCTTCAAAATGCACTATTAAGAAAATGAAAAGACAAGCCACAGACTTGGGAGAAAATATCAGCTGCTACAGGTGTATCCAGAATATATAAAGGACTCTCAAAACTTAATAATAAGAAAACAACCCAGTTTTTAGAATGGACAAAAGATTTGAACAGACACTTAACCCAGAATATACGCAGATGGCAAACAAGCACATGAAAAGATGCTCAGCGTCGTCAGGCACCAGGGAAGTGCAAATTGAAGCTGCAGAGAGACGCCACCGTACAGCTGTAAGGATGGCTAGGATTAGAAGGACTGACCACACCGAGTGCTAGTAAGGAGGTGGAGAAAGTGGACCTCTCATTCGCTGCTGGTGACCGTGTAAACTGGCACAACCACGTTGGTCATTTCTTAAAAAGTTGAACATATACTTACCATATGATCGAGCCATTCCACTCGTAGGCATTTACCCAGTACACCTACCAAGAGAAAAGAAAGCATGTGCCATGCAGACGAGCACTTTTGTAACAGCCCAAACTGGAAGCAACCCAGACGCTCACTAGCTGGTAAATGGATGCACAATCTGTGCATGTCTGTCCAAGGGGATGTGGCGCAGCAACAGAGGTGGGTGGACTACTGATTCACGCAGCAGCACGGAGGAAGCCCAGGCAGGCAGGGCGAGTGGCAGCAGCCAAACAGAAAAGAGTACGTACTGTATGAGGCCATTTGTATAAAATCTTAGGAAATGCAAACTAATGTTAGTGACAGAAAGTGTGTCACTGGTGGCCCGGGAAAGGGGGACAGGGACAGATTGAGAAGAAGCATCGAGAAACCTTTCTGGAATGATGACTGTTCTCTCACTGTGTGGATGGCTTTCTGGGTGTGTCATGTGCCAGAACATACCACATTTTTCTCTTTATTTTTTTAATTATTTTTTTGGTGGCTGGCCAGTACAGGGATCAGAACCCTTGCCCTTTGTGTTATAATGCTGTGGTCTAACCAACTGAGCTAACTGGCCAGCCCTCAAATTATCCACTTTAAATACGGGCATTTAGTGTTCGTCAACAGATCTCAATAAAGCTGTTCTTAAAAGAGTTTAAAGGCAAAACCTAGTGAAAAGACCAAAACTTATTAGCTGTGTGACCTTAAGCAAGGTGCAATAGTTTCCCAACATATAAAGTAGTGATAGTGTCACTTTTCTTGTAGGGTTGTTGTGACAATTAAAAATAACATGTTAGAAATGTTTTGTACTAAATATGTTCTCAATAAGTGATGGAAGTAATATAACAATGCTGGCAAGGATGAGAAGAATGCTAAAGACTTGACTCTGGAATGTTCTGCTCAGATACATCTGGAGAGGTTTCTGTGGAGGGATGGAAGCCATCGCCCATGGTTTTCCAGTGCCTCAGGTCACTGTTTTACAGAGTGACGTGGAGCTAATGTCACGCTGAGATCTGACCCATGCATATCTCCTGCTGTCCCGCCTCCTCAGTGGTCCCCCTAGTTTGGCCAGAGCTGAAAGGGATTTCCTGTGTCTCTGCCACTGTGGGGCATGGCTCCTGACACATGGGACACACAGCACCTCGCCACCTCATGGTCTCTTCTTCCTCCCTTAATTTTTGGACCTGGAACCAGATAGACATGTAGAGACCAGTCAGGAAGAGAGAGTGCATGTCCACTGTGTGGCATGGCTCCTGACACATGGGACACACAGGTAAATGCCAGCAGTGGTGGTTTCACGAAACATGGGTGAGGTCACTCTGTTATGGCTGCTGTGTCCCATTGCATGTCTGGAGGGCTCTGCAGTTGTCCACGGGGTCAACAGAGTCATGATTCTATTCTAGGCAAGTGGGAAGAAAAGGTAGATACCGTCCCTGTCCTCCAAGGGTTTACAGTCACGGGAACCAGCTTAGTGAGGGGCATGGGACAGGCTCAGATAGGGGAAGAGAGGGAATCAGAGGAGCTGGGTCAGAAAAACATCATGAAAAAAGAGGACAAAGAGAAGCTAGCTTCTGTGTGTGTGTGCGTGTGTGTGCGCGTGTGTGTGCATCTGTTGTGTGTGTGCACATGTGTGTGTGTGCGTGTGCATCTGTTGTGTGTGTGCATGTGTGTGTGTGCATCTGTTGTGTGTGTGCACATGTGTGCGCATGTGTGTGCGTGTGTGCATCTGTTGTGTGTGCACATGTGTGTGCACGTGTATGTGCATCTGTTGTGTGTGTGCACATGTGTGCGCGTGTGTGCATCTGTTGTGTGTGTGTGCACGTGCGTGCGCGTGTGTGTGCGTGTGTTGTATGTGTGTGTGCGCGCATGTGTGTGTGTGAGTGTGTGTGTGCGCACGCGCGTGTGTGTAACCCCCAGCCCTTTAGCGCAGTGCCTGACGTAACCAGACCTCGGTACTTTCTGGTTGGATGAGTGAGCGAGTGAGAATGAATGGAGACAGTACTGTCACGAGCAGAGATGGGAGAGCCAGGAGCCAGGCCCAGAGCTGGTGGGGAAGGCAGGTTGCCAAAGGAGCCCATGCGGAGGAGAAAAAGGCTTAGGCGGGGAATGGTTTGATTGGGGTTGGGGAGAAAGAAGTCTGGACACTAGGCTGGGGGACTGTCTGCACGGCAGGGGCAGGCTCACCACACCCAGGGTCCTCCTTAGTCCTGCTGGAGTTTCAGCGGCTATAGGCACATGAGTGCTCCTTGGCTCCCCAGACAAGCTGAGTCAAAGGGAGAATCTGGTCTTCTAGGCCCTTCTTCCACCACAGATTGGCACCTGCTCTGCAGGGGAGGCAGAGAACCTCTCTCCCCGCAGCAGGGACACCCACTCCTCCCTGCCGGAACACTTACATCCAGCACATACACAGACCTCCCCCCGACCTGTCAGTGCCACTCACTCAGTTTGTAGTCACTTCTGAACATCAAGGAGCCATTTCCAAGGCCAGCCAGCACACTGCCAGCCTCTACATTCAGCAGCAGGCCAGTTGGTAAGGCACAGGTGTGCAAACAGGCTGTGGGGACCACAAGCAGGCCATGCACTGGGGGCTTGAGCTGGCTGGCTGGACTAATGTGCCTGGTGCCACATGGTGCCCTCTGGCCTTGCCCCCATTTCAGAGCCCTTGGGACCCTCTCCCGTGCCCCTTTAGATCATCCAGAGTTTCTGGAACCAATATGCAAGTTGAGGAAAAGTTGCTTCATGCCAAACCAGAAGCCTGTTTCCCATCCGACTGCTGCGCTGAGGTCTGGATGTTCAGTGCGTCTGTTACATCCCCCAAAGGCAACCTGGTTACTGACGCTGGTCCTGGGGGGCTGTTCCCACCCTTTCAGGTACATTCCTAACCCAGACCCTAAGGCCTGTGCTAAAGTGAAGTTTGAGCAAAGAAAGAGCAATGTTTATTTCTGCCCTGCCACCAAGAAGGGGGCTTCATCTGATCAGAGACAGATTGGAGCACATGTTCTTGGGTAAAGGCTTCTTTATCTAGTGCTCTGAACTGTTTAAGAAAGAATCCAATCTCTTCTCTTTGCCATCCAGCAAAGGAGCCCCCCTTCTCCACCCTCACTCCCTGGCTGCCCCCACCCCCCAACTCAGAGCCTTGTTTCTCTTGCCAGGCTGCAGGCAGCAGCCACAAGACCTGAGCTTGGAAAGCCCCTGCCCGAACACGCTTGCATCTCTGTGGCTGTGCCTGTGCGGCCTGGACTTGCATGTGGGCGTGACTGACAGAAACCACTCTGGAGCATGTTGCCCTCTGTCTGCCCATGCAGGTTACTCCTCGCTGCAGGACGAGCTGCTGTCCCCTGCCTCCCTGCACTACGCGCTCCCCTCTCTGCTGCGTGCAGACCAGTACTGGAACGAGGTGGCTGTCCTGGATGCCATCCCCTTGGCGGCCACGGAGCATGACACCATGCTGGAGATGTCTGACATGCAGGTGTGGTCCGCGGGCCTCACTCCCTCCCTGGTCACTGCTGAGGACTCCTCTCTGGAGTGCAGCAAGGCCGAGGACTCTGACGCCACGGGCCACGAGTACAAGCTGGAGGGGGCACTCTTGGAGGAACCGCGGGGCCCCGAGCTGGGCTCTCTGGACCTTGTGGAGGACGACACAGTGGATTCAGATGCCACAAATGGCCTTATTGATTTGCTTGACCAGGAGGAAGGTCAGAGGTTGGAAGAGAAGTTGCCAGGTCATGAGAGGCAGGATGGCTCCACAGGGGCAGGGCAGGACTCAGAGAGTGAGGTGTCTCTTGTTTCAGGCCAGCAGAGGGCGCAAGCCCAAAGCACAGATGCCCCCTCCACGAGTCAGGTGCAGGAGAGGAGCCAGGACAGGTAAGGGCTTGGCTGTGGTGGGGGGGTGCCTCCTTTTCCCTGGGTTTCAGGAAAAGATGTGCCGTCATGAGTATAAAGGGAATGCCTGGGTGCTGCCACCAGCCCTACCCCATGTGCTGGGTGCCCTGGGGCACATGAACCTGGTATGGCACCAGCTTGCCACCAAGCCATACATAAGAGAGCATCTGGGATCTGCAGAGGCCAGTCCCTCCCAAGATGCTGAGGGGGATGGAACAGGGAATGTGCACTTAGGAGAGAGATCGTGGGGCTTGAGGAGACTGTGGCTCCAAGGTGCCACAGGATTAAGGTGTCCTGGATGCCTCACCACCAGGTGTCACTGTTGAAGACCATGCTTAGCAACCTAGAGGCACCAGGACCCAGGGGGGCCCTCTACGTGTGGTCACGTGGCCCGCATGGGATAGAGCTGACAGTGGTGCCCCTTCTGCTTGTCCCCTTGGAAAGAGGGAGGCTGTGGGCTCGTCTGGGGCAGGACAGAGCTCTCAGCTGTGGAGCTGGCTGATTCTCCTCACCAGGCTTCCTGTGCCACAAGGGCATGGCACAGCACCAGCCGCGGCTAAGTGGTGTCAGCATTTAGGAAGGCTGTGTGCCCTCTGCAGACACGAGAGTGCTTCGGCCATGCTGGTTCCCCGTCCCTGCAGGGGACACCCAGCATGCTCCCAGCACCGTGCAGAGCCCTTACAGCGCAGAGGGAGATGAGACAGACATGAGACAGGGTCACTTGGCCTCCCTGGGCTGGCATGCGAGGCAGATGACAGAGGCCCTTTGTTCCTAAGTCCCCTGAGCAAGGAGGCAGGCCCCATGCTCACAGAAAGATTGGCCAGACCTGGGAGAGCCGCTCTTGTCCCTCCTCCCAGCCCATGCTCCTCAGGCCTCTCCAAGGCCCGGGCTGGTGAGGCCGTTTCCCAGGGTTCATTCACAGTGGCCTGAATCCCAGAGCAGGAGGGAAAGAAAGTAGTTAAGGAGACAAGACTGCAAAGAATTCGTTTTACTTCCTAAATGAACCCTTTGGTCACGGAGAAGGGTCGGACAGACTGAGCCCATGGGGTCAGAGGGGCATCCTGGACACTGGAGCTGTCCCGCTGCAGTGACAAGCATCCACTCAGGGACCAGGAGGCCAGGGTTCCAGGCCTAGTTGTGTCACTCCCTGGCACTGGAACCTCGATCAGCCTCCCAGCTGGGACAGGGGAGTTTCATTCACTCAATACTTATGGAGTGCCTACTATGAGCCAGGCGCCTACAAAAAGTGCCTAGGTGCTGGGGAAATGGCATTGGATGAAACAAACAAGTCTCCACCTGCAAGAAGCTTGTGTTCACGGGGGGAGGCTGACAGGGAGCCAGGCAGAGTAAGTGGGACTGGAAGTAATTGACACGGCAGTGCTGGGTGAGGAGCAGCACGGAGAGGGGAGCGGGCGGGGAGGGCCCGGAGGCAGGTGTGGGTGTCGGGGAGGGGCTGGGGGCATGTGTGTATAGGGTCCACGTGCAGGGGTGAGCAGAAGGGACACCCAGTGCAGACCCAGCATGTAAAGGCTGGGAGGTGGAGTGTGCCCGCCCGTGTGAACAACAGTCTTCCTGGAGCAGGGTGGGCAGGGCAGGGGGACCAGGGAGGCCCTGGAGAGGGTGTGGAGCAGATGAGGGATGTGACCCAGCAACTGCCTTGAATGGAGCCTGACATGGCCAGAGGGAGAGCAGGAGACGCTCTAGGAGGGAGCTTGGTGGCGATGGGGACCAGGATGGTCGTGGTGGTGGTGGTGAGAAGTGGTCGGGTTCAGGATATAGTTTGAGTTGAACTGAAAGGATTTGCTGACAGATGTGATATGGAGGGTGACAGAAAGGGAGGCGTGGGGCGGGGCCCTGGCATCGCGAGGGGCAGGGCGGGGAGAGACCGTGGGCGTGGGTCTGGTGGCGCTGTCCTCGAGGGGCCTGCTAGAGATCCAGAGCGGAACGTTGGCAACTGCAGCCGGGCGCGATGAGTGCCAGGGGCGGGCTTAGAGCTGTGGGTCAGGAGAGCTCTCCCAGGAAGAGGTCATGGCCTGTTCAGAAGTAAGGGCCCCGGGAGTGGTTGGGGAAGGGGGGCTGGGCACGTGGTGCTCTGGAAGCCATGGAAGGATGGTTTCGAGGGGAGAGAGCGAGCGCCTTGGCAGACGAGGACCAAGTTGAGGACTGCTGAGTTGGCGACCCTCGGGGGTGGTGCAGGATGTCCTGGGTGAACCAGGGCCCTGGAGGGGAGGATGTCTGAAAGCAGCTGGAAGGGTGACCAGGTGTCCTTTCTCTCCCCTGCTGTATGTCAGTCCCCCGGATCACAGACTGCAGGACTGGGATGGGGAAGGCTCCATCGTCTCGTACCTGCAAGATGCAGCCGAAGGCTCCCAGAGGACGGTCACCAGCATCACAGGGCTGGAGCCCAGTGGGTCTCAGGAGCAAGAGAGGGTCCTGGCATCTTTCGAAGGCCCCCAGGCTGACAGGGAACAGGGACAACGAGGCCACGGAGAGCACGTGCAGGTGAGAGCCACAGGGCCTGGAGCTCTGGGCAGCTTCTCGTTGCTTGAGCCTGAGCCAAGCACTCTTTCTTTAAAAATTGTGGCGGTTGGGCCGAGCCGTGGCGCACTCGGGAGAGTGCGGCGCTGGGAGCGCAGTAGCGCTCCCGCCGCGGGTTCGGATCCTATGTAGGGATGACCAGTGTGCTCACAGCGCTCACTAGCTGAGCGCGGTCTCAAAAAGAACCAAAATGGGCCCGCCCGGTGGCGCACTTGGTAGAGTGTGGCGCTTGGGAGCCTGGCGGCGCTCCCGCCGAGGGTTCGGATCCCATATACAGACCAGTCCGCTCACTGGTTGAGCGCGGTGCAGGCGCAACACCGAGGGTTGCGATCCCGTTGCCGGTCGCAGTACGGGCGTGACACTGAGGGTTGCGATACCGTTACCGGTCACAAAAAAAGACAAAAAGGAAAAAAAAAGGACCAAAAAAAATAATAAATTGTGGCGGCCCTTGGCCTTCTCTAGAAGAGAGGGTGTGGGGTGCCATCGCCCTTCCCACCTCCTTGACCCTGCCGGGGACAGGAGGGCCCCACGGAGGTGGTCGGCACGAAGCCAGGCAAGACCCCGTGCTTGGGCAGTGGCCGGGGCCACGGTCTCAGAAGGGGGCTTTGCTCTAAGTCTGGCCGATTCCGAAGCAGGGGTTTTTGTTTTCTCTTTCCTGTTGAGTGTTAGAAAGGGCTTAGAGCAGAGAGAACTGGGCCTCAGGCCAGCTCTGGCCCGCCATGGTCCCTGCAGTTCTGGGTGGTGGTGAGCCGAGCGGCGCAGCAGGGCAGGGGCGCTCTCCCTTCCCTCCCGTCCTGCCGCCTCCTCTCGACCTCCCCCTTCCATCCGCGCGTCCCTGCCCTCCGTGGAGCTCCCGCTTTACCCTGCTTGCTCAGGCCTCGCTCCGCAGCCAGGCTCCCCAGTCACCCATCCGTGGCCAGTCTCACCTCATTTGTACCCCACCCCACACAGCTGTTGGAGCGAATCGCAGACAGCCTGTTACTGTGTGTCCTTTTGATTAACGTGTTCTCGTGAAACTCGTGCCGCCGCTCTGCGCGCACATTTCTCGTGTGTGCCTGACCCGTGTGCTCCACGCCTCTCTCGGTTCCTGTTCTTCACTCGGCACCGTTTCCTCGTCCGGGAACTGCTTCCTCCTCTCTCCTTTCCTCTGTCTCCTTCTTTCCTTGTCTCCCTTCTTTCCTGCCCAAACCTCAGCCCCAGCGGAGCACCTCTGAGGACCGCAGGCCAGGCTGGCTCTGACACGGTGCTGGGCCACTGGCTCCGGAGAGCTGCTGGGAGCTGAGGAGGGATTTATTTAGAATGCTTCCCTGCCAAGTATGTGCACGCGGGCAGGACAGGTGGCTGTGTCCACTTCTAACTGCAGACCACCCCACGTGTTCGGGCTGCTCCTTGGCACCCAGCCCTGCTATTCCCAGGAACAAGCCAGAGCACAGCTGCTCTTAACTGGTCTGTTTTGAATCCCTGGGGAGAGAAAGCAGCCAGGAGCACTGCCCCTCTGCCATCAGCCCTTGGTGACAGGAAGCCAGGCAGCAGAGGCAGAAAGCAGGACAGCTTTGGAGGATCCCAGAAAGGGCACTTCCTGACCATACAGTCCAGTTCCTTCAATTATAAATGAGGAAACTGAGGCCCAGAGAGGCCAAGATCTTTCTGCAGGGTCACACAACAAACCAATGTCAGGGCCGGGAGAGTCCAGATCTCCCAGTTCCCAGCCCCACGTTCCTGTGGCCAGAGTGAGTGTGCAGGGCCTCCAGCCAGCCTGGAAATGGAGCCTGCACCCTGGCCTGGGAGCACGGACGGCCTGGTCAGCTGCTGTCAGCCATCAGTGGTCATCTGACGGGCCCGGGTGGTGGAGAGGCCCAGGAAGGTGGTGGTGTGCAAAGCACCACTTACTAGCGTCTCACTCAGTCTCTCACAGCAGTGACCGAGAGAGAGGCCGGTCATGAGGACTTGGGACGTGGGCCTAAAATGTCTGTAACCCGGGCCGGCCCGGTGGCGCACTCGGTAGAGTGCGGCGCTTGGGAGTGCGGCGGCGCTCCCGCCGAGGGTTCGGATCCCATATAGAGACCGGTCCGCTCACTGGTTGAGTGCGGTGTGGATGCGACACCAAGGGTTGTGATCCCGTTGCCGGTCGCGGTACGGGCACGACACCAAGGGTTGCGATCCCGTTACCGGTCACGAAAAAAGACAAAAAAAGGAAAAAAAAAAAATGTCTGTAACCCAGCTGATTCCTCTGAGGACCTGCGGGAAATGACTGGCTTTCTTGACCAAGCCAAAGCCAGCTGGTGTCCCGTGACCAGCTGCTCTGAGTGTGCTGTGGGCTTCCATCTTTCTGGGCGCTTCCTTGTTGAAACGAAGTGGCGCTGTGCAGGGAGGGGCTTGAAGCCTGGCTCTCATGTACTTGTCCTTTCACTCAGGCAGGGTCCTTGGACTCTGTGCCCTTCATGTGAAACAGGAGCATACAGGCCCTCCTGGAGGGATGGCAGCGGGGTCTGGCTGCAGAGCGGTGCGTGCTGTGCTGAGCGCTTGCCGTTTTTACTCACAGGGGCAGTGCTCAGACTGTGGTCCTCACAGCAGCGTTGAGAAGGGTTAGGAGAGCACTTAAGTGTCTGTTTTGTGGGTGAGGAAACTGAGGCACAGAGAAAGCACCCCACAGGAAGTGAGTTTTGGGGTCAGTTTGCTGTGTCCCGGATCTTTGTTCTTTCTGCCATGCTGGGCTGCTACTCAGCGAGGAACAGCCCAATCCAGAAAGGGAAATTCCTTCCAGCCACAGCTGCCATGGCTGGATTTACAAACCAGCTCTGTGAGCTTAGGTGCAATACATGTGGCTCCTGCTCAGGGGCGTTGACAGCCTAGCATGGGAAGAGCCTTTAAGGACAGGCCTTAAATCAGTGCACCACTTACATGCTAAAGTTTAGGGTTGCTGTGCCTCGCAAAGGAGGGGACCCCAGGCCTGCAAGCTGACGGGAACTACAGGCCAGGTTCCAGGTGGCACCACCCCCTGTGCTAGACCCTGCTGTTCTCGCTAGGTTGGGCCCAAGCAAATCACTCACCTGGGTGGCTGTTTCTGAAATAAACCCTTCTCTATTCAGGGTGTTTGCTGGTCCTGTCCCTACAGTGCCAGCACGCATCCTTCTGATCACTGCAGTGGCAGCCCAAGGAGATGCAAAAGTAGCCATGTTCTTAGAGCACCTTGTTTTCTGGAGTCCCTGAGCGAGAACCTTCCCTGAGCAGAACGCCCTCTAGTTCCCATAGGGACAGGCAGGCAGGAAAGGCTGGGTGGCCAGACCCCTTCCGACTCTCTGGGCGGGGCTTGACATGTGCTTTCAGTACCCAGCACACAGGCACCTGCCGGCTCCCTTCTTGCCCAGTTGGACAGCTCCAGCAGCTGGTTTGGGAGCTAAAATTATAGAAGACTGACATCACCCTGCTGCCAGGGCAGAGCCAGGCTGCGCGGCAGGAGGGGCATTCAGGCTGGGCTCTTCCAGCCGGGAGGGCCATTCGGTCTCCTGCCCAGAGAGACAGACCAAGAGAGCAGACCAGGGAGAGAGACGGAGACTGGAAGGGGTCCCTGGGGCACTGAGGAGTCCAAGAGGAGAATGACAGGCGGGACCCTTGCAGCGGCCGGGGCCCTGAGGAGGCAGCGAGGATGTGGACTTTCGTCACCCAGCTTCTGGTGAGCCTGGTGCTCCTGGGCTTCTTCCTGGTCAGCTGTCAGAACGTGATGCACATTGTCAAGGGCTCCCTGTGCTTTGTGCTGAAGCACATCCACCAGGAGCTGGACAAGGAGCTGGGGGAGAGCGAAGGCCTGGGTGACGACGACGAGGCTGTCTCCACCAGGGTGGTCCGCCGGCGGGTCTTCCTGAAGGTAACCGCCGTGTTGAGGGCACACTGCTGTGCCTGCCGTGGGGGAGGCTAAGGGAAGTGCCGGCACCCACTCAGGACCTGCCCCTGCATCAAGCACAGCTGAAGGCCAAAGAAGCTCAACTCTGGGACTCAGGAGACCTGCTCTGTTCGTGTTTCTGCCACCACCCACCTCTGGGATTGTGGGCAAATCACATTCAGGGCAACAGTGTCTGTGGAAGGGCTTCCTAAACTGTGAAGTGCTGTGAAAACATGAGGCCAGTGTCTCACTTCCTCTCTCAGGGACCCCATCAGGCTGTGTAATGTCCCCACCCTGCCTGCTCCCGGGGCTGCCGTAAGGACCAGGGGCGCCAAGCTCTTGTGCCCTGGGGCTGGTCCTGTGTTCAGGCCTCGTAGCCACAGGCGCCAAGCCTGTGGGGTGCCATGGTCTGGCTGTGGCGGCTGCTGTGCTGGGATCCAGTGGATGTGGCAGCTGCCGCAGTGGCTGCTCCAGTTTCTCAACCTCCACTCTTCCCAAACCCCCTCTACTGATCTTGAGTTTTCTCTCTCTCTCTAATTCCAGGGGACGGAGCTTCAGAATATGCCAGCAGAGCAGGTGACAGAGGAGCAGTTCACGGATGAGCAGGGCAACATTGTCACCAAGAAGGTAGATACTTGGGGTCCCCCTGGCTGGGGAGAGGCAGGGGGCCAGGGGCTGACAGGGTGAGCACGGCTGTGGCTGGCTGCCTTTGCCACACAGCTGGGACGATTGGGTGCTGGGAGCCGTCGAACTCTGCAGTCCATACGTGGCTCTCCTTGGGCCTCTTGGCCTGATCCAGGAGGACCAACCCCCGTAAGATACCCCGAGGCCACTCCCATGACACCTAGCCGTGAAAACAGTGGAGAGAGCAGTGTGACTGTCCCTGGCCTCCCATGGGCTTCTGCAGAAAAAAGGATGTGGAAATTCGTTGACTTGGTAGCAGATATTAATTCAGTAGACATGATTTCCTAGCTATGGGCAGAGGGAGCATGTTGCATGTGCCTGCACAGGGGGCGCAGCTCCCAGGTACCCTTCAGGTGTTGGTCTTTCCTCCTGCATGGTGAGCTTCTCGCCGGCAGGGACCGTGCCGTCCGTATGCTTTCATCCCCCACTCTGAGCACACGGAAGGTCTAAGAGTAGAGGGTTGTTGACTGTTTGGGTGAATAAACAAGGGAATGGATGGATCGAATCAAAGTACTATAGGCAAAAAGCAATGTCCTCAGCCCTCAGGCACTTGCTGTGGAACAGGGAAGACAGTACAAATTTCCCCCGATGCCAGGAAGCAGAAAGACGTGCTATGGGCTTGGGACAGGAGTCACACATGGTCAAACCTCGACCCTTAAATGAAACCTGCCCAGACCCCTTCCGCTAGTCCCAGCCCCTCTGAGGTTGTCCAGTGCAGGTTTTTCCATCAAGCAATAAAGGGCAGGAGGCCAGTCGCCCTTCTTGGTCTCTCAAGGAAAAGCCCCTGGAGGAAGCTGCCCTCCCCGTCTCCCCCGCGCAGACCCGCCCTTTTCGCTCTGTCTTGATGGCTTGACCAGCCTCTCCCTTCCCCACTTTGTTCAGGTCATTCGCAAGTTTGTTCGGCAGATAGACTCATCTGGTGCTGATGACACCCAGGAGCACGAGGAGGTGATGGTCGCGGGGCCCCTGGAGGATGCTAGCGAGCTGGAAGCCGATATCGATTACTTTATGAAACACGCCAAGGTACTGAAGGGCTGCGGCTCACGCTCTTGTCCCGGCCTCCTGGCCCCTGCACCAGCCGCAGGGGGCCCTCTCCCGGCTCACTCTCCCTCGAGGCTCCTTTCTTCCCTGGTGGGCAGTGTTTGCCACCTCCACAGGGTTTCTTCATTCTTTTGCCTGTCTTTTGCCCATCTGTCTGCGTGTCTGTCCTGTCTTCTGTCCCCGCCACCATCTCCAGGTGGAGCTGCGAGGGAGTGGCCTGCAGCCGGACCTGGTAGAGGGAAGGAAGGGGGCTCAGGTAGTGAAGAGGGCCAGCCTGAAAAGGGGCAAACAGTGACCCCACACCTGTCTCTTCGGACTAGCCTCATGGGAGGTAACGCCATCTGTCTGTCTCATCCTTTCTGCATGGCCTTGTCTTCCATGGGGCCACCACTCACCCCCACCCCTGCTCCCTGCGCACCATCCACCCTGGCATGATGCAGGATGAACAACCTGTCACTGTGGTCCCAGCCTCCTAACTATGTCTGAGAGCCTCAATTTCCTCATCCAGAAACCAGAGTCAATAATATCTACTTGACCTACCTCTCGGGGAGTGCACAAATACAGTTTTGAAAAAATATTTTTGCAGAGTGAAGAGCACTCTGTAATCCAAGCAGGAATATCATCCTGGAAACCAAGCAATGGGGATCTAGAGGTCAGCGGACAGGTGCTGACAAGGATAGTGGAGTCTGGGCTGGGGTGTTTCAACACAGTGCTCAGGAAGAGCTTCAGGATGTAGAGCTGGGCTGTCCCTGGAAGCTGGAACCCAGCTGCAGACCTGACCAGCCCAAGGCTTAGACTCTGCTTGGAGTGTCCTGAGACACACTGCTCCCCTGCTTTCTAGGAAGGGCCTGAGTTAACAGGCCCAGGGTGGATGGCACTCCCCTGCAATCAGGAGGATCTGCGGGGCTGGGGCCTGGGCAAAGCATGCGCAGTGTGAGCAGGGGCGGCATGACCAAGGAGCGGGTGTGCCATGGTGTGCGAGTGAGGACACTGTGGCGATGGCTTCCCACGGGCCTGTGCAGTGCTGGGGGTGTCTGCGGCCACCTCTGATCTCAGTCCTCCCTGAGGGATCCTGTACTGAGCTGCCCCGAGGCCCTTCATTGTGCCCAGCTCGGGGAAGCTCAGTACAGGATGCATCGGGGTGGCAGCCAGCGGGGAGCGCGGCACTGCCCGGCTGCTACCCTCAAGGCCAGGGCCTGGCTCAGAGCTGGGCAGTACAAAGCAGGGCCTGCAGCCCCTCGAGTCACCACATGTGCTGACTCTGGGCTTCCCAACATAGCTCAGCACTTGGGCAAAGAAGAGGACAGGCAGATCCAGCTAGAGGATAAAATTAGACCTGACTCCTCAGCAGCTTAAGGAGGTCACAGTGTTAACCCCTGCACTGCCACAGGGTCCCACCAGGCTGCTGGTTTAGAAGACTGTGATTAGCTGCCATTGGATCCTGGAAATCATCCAAAGATGCAAATAATTTAAAAAAGCAGATGGTGAAAAGAAAGCATGCTCTTCTGCCCTGTTTATCTTATGGTAGCAGCAATGGTGGCAGCTTTAAATTTGAGCTTATTTGGCTCAGGTTCTACTGATGTTCCTGAATGTGAGGAGGCCACCCAGAAGCCAGGCTGGGCAGAGGGAAGGAACCTTGAGGGTTTTTTGTTAATTTGCTATAGATGATCTGCAAAGTAGCTGAGCCCCCCACAGGTGACACGTGGAGCAGCTTGCTCCAGGACAGTGCCGGGCCTCCTGCTAACAATAGGCCAGGGAAGCAGGTGGTGGGCACAGTGGTGGGGGGACCTTGGCCACAGGCTCTAGGGGCAGCATAAAAGGCCCTCCCCTCCCAACAAGAGCAAAGGCTGCAGAGAAGGTGGTGAAGCACGTGCAGCCAACCCTCTCTGTTCGCAGGTGTTGCATCTGCGAATTTGCCTACATGCCGGCATTTATACCCCAAACCACACTCCCTGTACTTGTGCAGTCAGTCACACACGCACAGTAGCAAAAAATCGGAGTGGCCTGCCATGTACGCTCCCTGCTGAGGTCGAGCGAGGCGACCTATCACAGACCTCACGCTATCAACACGTGTCCTTGCTGCGGTCTGCACTGCCACACCCCTTGCACCGTCACGCTGTGTGCTGGTGACTTTGCTGTTTAGAAGTGCCTTTAGTGCTACTGAGTGCATGAGGCTACAATAGGCTTTACGGAGGAGCAGATACGTGGTTGGAGGAGCTTTGTTCGGGCAGAGTTACAGTGCTGTTGGCCGCGAGTTCAAAGTTAATGAATCAACCGCGTGCAGTAAACGGGGAGTCTGTAAACAAAAACACAAGACAAGGTTATGTATTCATCGGTTGCTGTAAATGCCGTGGCCTGTGGTCACAGGAGCCTAGCCTTGCGTCCCCCGGGAACCAGCGGTTTGGTGCTGGCTAATGCAGTGTTCACAGCGACCGTATGGAGCATCGCTACTGTGAACAATGAGGGCCGATGCGCTTGTGTTAGCAAGTGAGAGCGGGCCTCGGCGGCGTAGGTCCTGGGCCCGGCTCCTCCCGTTTCCAAGTGCTGTGACTGTAAGCAAGTCATTTAACCACGCTGAGCTTCCGTGTCCTCAGGGAGGATGAAAATAGTCCCTTCTGAACGTGTGCTACACCTTAATAAAAGCGTTTGAAAACACGATGGCAACTGTGGAGCTGCTGTGAAGAGTGACTGAGGACATCTGTCCTCTGTCACTCAGTCGTTTGCAGACCTTGTTTAGTGGACTTGAGGCAAGTTGATCGGCCCTGGTTGGCCCCAGGTTCCTCATCCGTAAAACAGCAATAATGCCAGGGGTGCCCTGCAGGATGACGGTGGCCAATGATGGGCTTTGTTTGGGAACGGGGTCCTAAGTCGTTAAGGCGCAGTATGCCGCTGCCGAGCGTGGTCACGCCCTGGCACCCGATCAAACGCAAGTCCTGTTAAAACGTGGGTCCCTGGTCCCTGCCCCAGACTTACAGAATTCAGTTTCCAGAACCGAGGATTCTGCACCCAGCTCCTCAGGTGATTTTTACACACGCTGAAGGTCGAGTTATTGTGAGTCATCTTGTGAGTCAGCTTCTCCTCCCACGACCTGCTCGGAGTGCTGGGGCACAGCTGTCGACTTTATATCCACAAGGCAAACTGAACTGAAAGATGGCTGTAGTTTGTTTAGAGATGCGGAACACCCCCACAGGGCAGAGCACCCCCGTGCTGGGTGGGGACTGAAGGGACCGGACCAGCACCCTGGTCCCTGACAGTCCCTGCCAGCGTTGGGAAGGATTTTGCCTCTGAGGCCTGGCGGGCTGAGGGAGCTTTCTGGTAGTGTTTAGGAAGCGGGAAAATAGCCATGTCGTCAGGGCAGGACTGTGTGTGGCAGATGGTGGTAGGCCGAGGTTTGCTCGTGCCCACGCGTTCGGGTCTAGATACTGGGGTGTCGGTACTGCTCGGGGACAGTGCAGAACCGGGCAGCTGCAAGGGCTGCAGGCAGGGGCAGCCCGGCAGGCGCTGGTGCTTGGTGCTGCTCGGCACCTGCGTGCCTCTGCCCTCCGGGAGCTCCACAAAGCTGCAGGAGGAAAGGGCTCTGCCTTCTTTTGTTCTCCCTTTTGAGAGACGCTTCCGATTCAGACACTGTGGCTGCAAGACTTCCATCAGCTCCGAGAGTAGAATGTTTTAATACGTTTAGAATTAACCAGTAATCTCAAAGGGAGGGGCAGGGAGGCGAGACGCGTGGCTTGTCTTAAGTCGCAGTCTGCTTTCACTGCCCAGCCATCGCAAGTGCGCTAGAGTCCGGGGTCGGGGAGACAGGAGGAAGCCCAAGCAGCAGGTGGGGGCGGGAACAGTGCCACAGCACAGAGAGAAAATGCGGGGAAGGCCCTGGCTGGCACAGCCACCTAGAGTGGAAGGGTCTATTTTCTCAGCTTTCTAAAGGGTAAGGCCTTTCTCAGAGGACGCAGCCCGGTGGAGGGTCCTGAGTGGAGCCAGCAGGCTCATGTTCTGATCCTACCCTTGCCACCCCCACACGCTGCAGCTGGACCTACGGCTGCCCCTCTTGAGCGTCCGTCTGCCCCAGATGAAATGAGCAGCTGATCCAGAATGATCGCTGCGTCTGCTCAGCGCCTGGGCAAAAGGGCATGTGGGCGACCTTGGCTCACAGATTTCTCCTTGAGGTGTGCTGAGCACTGGGCTGGGTGCTGAGGGGAAACCCAGGAAGGTGTTCCTGCCATGATTCAGCAGGGATAACAGAGACATAAAAAAGGAACGATGGGACAAAGTCACATTTCCAGGGAGCCCAATAATAGTTTACATTCATACAATGCTCACTGTTCTAAGCACTTTACGTACCTATCTGTTTTGATCTTTCAAACATCACAACTATCTAATGAGGTAGGTTCTGTTATTGTCTTCATTTTACAGAAGAGGAAACTGAGTCACAGAGCAGGTAAGTAACTTGACCACAGTTAGTCAGCAGGTGATTGGCAGAAACAGGATTTGAACTTGGGCACTCTGGCTGCAGGGTTCATGCTCTTAACCAGTTCACTCTGTAATCTCTCTAGATAAAAGGTAGAGGCAGGAAGGGAGAACTTCCAGAGCTGAGAAGACTCGAGTTGTCAGGAAGGCTTCCTGGAGGAAAGGTTCTTGAGGGCTGTGGGCAGAACTTCAGCAGAGAGGAGAGTGGATGGCGGCCTTCCCAGGTAGAACCGCAACCACAGGCGGAGAGCAGGAGGGCACCACATGCTCCGGAGGGGTGCAGGAGATGGGCCTGGCTGAGAGCGTGGCCCAGGCAGTAAGGAAGAGCCTTGCCTCTTTCAAGCCACTGCAGCAGAAGTTCCTTCAGGGCAACCTCTGGCAAGGAAGTTCACACCACGCTCCCAGCCCTGCAGAGCCACTCAAGAGCTGATTCCTGATTGCCTCCAACATTCCTCCCCAACCCTGTCACCTGTAGGGCCCAAGACAGCTCCATGTCTCAGGACAGCGCTGTCTCACAATGAGGCGGCATTTCTGTTCCACCTCCTACCCCACCCAGGAGATTATCTCCTCCTCCTTATGAAAGTGTCCTGCTTTTCCCCATTGGTTCCAAGGTCCTTGCAGGCAGAATCTTGGGTGGCTGGTCTTGGAACATGGAGTTTTCACTCAGGTTGGAGGATGAGGCACAGGGGTGGGGTGGTAGCAGAGCAGTGTCTTGCTGCAAATCCCAGGCTGCAGAACTTGAACTTTTGCTCCACAGGCAAAACTGCTATTTTCCAGTTAAGATGCACAATATTCTTGGGAGAATGCACCTGTTTGTGAACGATCTCTGCCACAGCAGAGGTGGTCTGTCCACGGTGCATGGGGAGAGGAGCCAGAGGCACCTGGCAGTAGGAGCTTGTGGACCAAAGAGGGGCTGTCCTCCCTTGAGGCCATGAGCTCTGAGGCCAGAGATCATGTCTTCTCCATCTCTGGGTCCCCAAGGCTGGCACACAGCAGACATCAGTGCATGTTGGCTGAAGTGAACTGAAAAAGTGGGGGCACCACTGCCTAACCTAACCAACCCCTTTCTTGGCCCAAGCCCTGGCTTATGAAAATGGCCCCTTCTTAAGTGCAAGGATCTACACATGAGGATGTCTCCCAGGTGAGCACACAGGCATGCGCCTCCTCTCGGAGAGTCCTGAGCACAGCGCTCCTTAACCTGCCAGGGATGGTCTCATGGGGTCTCATCCACTCAGCAAGGAGCCAGTGCAGGGCGGGCAGCAGCCCTGAGAGGCAGCGTCTGGGCGAGGCAGCGGCCATGAGGAAGGCTGGGGTCTGCCAGCCCGACACCTCTCAGCCCATCGCCTTGCTTGTGGAGACTGCTTTTCCTGAATCAGACCCTGCCTGAACAGCCAGCACAAAACGCCATGTTTTGGGCTTTTGCTGGGAGTTGCACCTTTAAATTCTAAGTGAATCCTTCTCTCTTTGCGTCTGTCCCTCAGGACCACACCTCGACACCCAACCCCTGAACTCCACACACTCTGCCACGCACACAGGAGGAGAGCTGCACCGGAGGGCTGCGGGAGCAGCTGTGTTTCTCTAAGCTCACGGCAAGACCTCTGTAAGGGCCTTCTTTAGTCTCCTATTCGCATGAACGGCGACTGTAGACGCATGACCTGCAGTCCTCAACCCTGCCTCTAGCAACGATGGATCCCTGCTGGGAATCAGGACAGAAGCAGCGAGACGGCGAGCGTGAGTGTGCAAGTGCAGACGCGAACAAGGGCTCTTTTGTGGCTGGGGATGAGCTTTGGATTTTTTTTTAAAAAATTGTTTTAATTTTGACTTCGTACAGGGTACTTTTTTTTTCAACCTTATCTGTAAGCAATCCGTGTGGGCTTCCTGGAAAGGAAAAAAAGAAAACTAGGCCTGAAAGCAGTTCAGCACCTTAATTCCACATCCCCTCCCCTTCGGTGGCCTTCCCCACCCCCACAGACCTCCATTCCACTTGTGACAATCCCCCCGCGCCCCAGTGGACTGCTCCTCCCAGAACGTCCCACACGACGCTGGGGACACACACTGACACACGCCCGTGCGCCTTTCCCGTCCACTCAGTGTACACACAGATTTTACTGTGACATCCGAAGCTGTATGGAATCTCCTGTGGACAAACTGGAATTTTTTATGTTGTCTCTTTCTCTCTGCCAGTTTCAGTAATAATCATCTTCCAGTGGAAAATCATTACCTTTAGCGTGTATTCGGGGCTCCTTGTGTGGAGGACTTAATCTGAGTTGAGGGCCCCAGGCTTAGGGCTCGAAGGGAGCCTGCCCCATCTGAAAGGGTCTTCCCTCTCAGCTGGGACGGGCTGGTGGCTCAGGATTGCACCAGCATGTTCCATAGAGAAGAGGTTTTCTATATCTTCAAGCACTTACATCATAGTCTGTGTTCAAAGTGTAAACTGTACAGTAATCAGCCTTGTGTATATGAAAAACAATAAATACTATGCAAACCAATAGAGACACTTTAGCAGTGCGTGCAAAGCACGAACAGCTCAGCTCCTGAGGACTTCTCCAGGCTACGGGAGGAGCTACAGGCTGGCTTTCAGTGAAAGAGGAGGGAAAGGGTAGGCCAGTGAATGTACCTGCCAGTTCTCAGAGGTCAGGACGCACCCAGTCTCCCAGAGCCAACTTGGTGCTGTAGGTGCGGGTGGCCGCAGACTGGGGGGTCGTGGGTGCAGGCCCGAGGCTCCAGGCCGGACGGCCTCAGTGCCCCCTCTGACCAGCCCCTGCTGCGCCCTCGGAGAGGCGGAGGAGGAAAGTGAATGACACCAAAAGGCCAGGCTGCAGGGCAGGGCAGGAAGGGAGCAGACAGCTGGCTGTTCCTCGCCTCGGTGCCACCAGGGAAGAGCCTTAAGTCACACCAGAGCCTCCGGCAGAGGGAGGCCTGAATCAGCACAATCGCGCCCGCCCTGCTGGCGGCGCCTCCGGGGCCAGGAGAGAACTGGCGGGAGGGCTCTTCTTGCTGTCCCGAGGGCCGTTGTGCACGTCCGGTCCGGTCACCTTCCTCCCCTCCTCGGGACACATCCAAGTAGCACAGATGCTCCCTCCGCGTCAGGCCCCCCCGGCCCTGGGGCCTGCGCCCAGCCCCAAGGGCTCCCGACGGCGGAGCGGGGCCCCGAGCCCCGGGGTGCAGGGGTCGCCCCTCCCGGCCCGCGCCCGCGCTTGGCTCCCCCCTGCGCCCGCGGCATGGCTGCACACCCCCGTTGCTAGTAGGATTTCTTAGAGGAGGAGTTCGGGGTCTCCACATGATGCCTAGAGAATGCTGCAGTCTGCACATTAGATGCTTTTTAGAAGTTTTGAAATTACCTTGATTTTTTTAATTGTTATGAAAATGAATCTTCTGGACTCTCTCCCACATGCTCTGTTATGGGAGAGAATCCCACCGCCCCCTCTGATGTATAGACCATTCTCCCTACACCAGCTGAACAATGTCAAAATTAATAAAGAAATGGACTCATGGCACAGGACTGCGTCTCCTTTCCCGATCGCTCCTCTGGGGGGGCTGGGAGGTGCAGGGGTGAAACCCAGCTGGAGTGTGAGATCAGTCTGCACAGAGGCCTGCGCCCTCGGGAGGGGCCCCCCAATGCCTGACTCCTCCTGGGAGCCAAGACACCCCTTAATTAGGACCACCCACCCTGGGAGAAGCCTCCAGGGAGATGGCAGAGCAGATTTCTACCCCACCGAATGGCTACCATGAGACCATGAAATGGGGGGATGTCAGAGGAAGGGCAGGGGCCCACAGCTGGCATACTCTGGGGGGACCCCCTCGTGCCCCGTGAAGCCACCCGGCCCCTTGCCACTGCCGTTGAAAGTCTGAGAACTTGGTCTCACCAGTTCCCTAGCAAGAACACCCTGCTTCTAACTAGCTCCTGTGCGCAAGGCTGGCCAACAAGCTGGTCTCTGTCCTCGCCTGTCAGGTGGGGAATGGACTAAGCGGTTGCTAAAGTCTCTTCAGTTTGTCTCCCTGGGAGCCCCAGACACCAACGTCTTTGCCAGACTTGACATTAAATAAAAACCAAATCATTTCCCACAGCGTTCCTTAGTCATAAGTGCCCATCATGAGGGCGCGACCAAGCCACAGTCCCAAGGTCCCTGGAGCACCCCCAGCCCCCACCACACTCCAAGCTTGTTCCTCGGAATCTGAAGGCCCTCCCAGGCCAGTGAGCCAAGAGAGCTGTGCACCTGCATCACCCAGAGGGCTTTCTGAAAACACAGGTTCAGATCACAATTGCCTGGGGGGATCAGGTGGCGACGCCGGGAATGGGGATCCAGCTTCCGGGAATAGCTGTGATGCACAGCTTGGCAGTAAAGCTAACTCGCATAAATAAGAACCTTTTTTCTTGTTTTTAACTCAAACTTTAGAAAAGTCATCTCCACACCCTTTGTGAAGTCTTCCTTGCATTAACCTAAATCACCTGCGTTAGGAGAGCATGGCTTCCTGCGTGAGAAGGGAGCCTTCCCTGAGCCCTGGGCCCTCTGCCTCCTGCAGGAAACCAAGGAGCAGGCCCACGAAGGGGCTCTTCTCTTCTCCTACCTGCCAAAGCATAGACCAGGGTGGTGAGAAAGTGAGCCCTGGCAGAGCCGATGGCATGGTTGGGAAGGGATTTGGGGCCAACCAACAAAGGAGGGGTGCAAGTCCATCTGTCTGGTGGTCACTATTTTTCCAGTCATTTCGCATGTTCAGACTAGTGAGTGGCAGGCTTGTTTCCATTTTTAGAGAAAAACTCCAGGAGAGAATGCTGCCCAATACAGAAATAACCCAAGTACCTGGGAAATAGGCTCTGACTCCTCTGTACCTTGTTTTCCCTGTTGGTAAAATGAGACATGGTCTCAAGTAAAGCCTTGTATGTTGCAAAAATTCATTAGAGGAAAAAAACTATATGGGTGCTCTGCAATCCAATCCAGTCCCCAAGCATCAGCTATCTCCTGAGCACCAACCACGCTCAGCCATCAGAGATTTCCAACCCAGGGGCCAAGCCAGACAGAACACGACCATTGCAGGGACACAAGTGAGGAAGGGGCTGCCCCGAGGCAGAGATGAGAACCCCTGTGCACAGCTGCCCCTCCCTTCTGCCTCATGGCCAGAGATGCATGCACCCACCCCTGTGAGAGCTGGCCCCCTCCCCAGCCCCTGACCCAGGAAGGCTCCCACCCCAGTCTCAAGCTAGTCACAGGGGTTGGCACCCCCCAGAAAGCGGGCACTGCTCAGCCTCCCCACTTACCCTTTCCAGCCCCCAGGAGGGAGGGGATGCAGCCATGTTCTGTGAAGCTTGGCACCTGCACAGAAAGGGGCACACAGGAGCGTGCCCTCTGAGCCCGGCCTCCTCGCCCTCAGGGGAGCAGCTGCAGGAACCGTGACTTCCAGCTGCCTCAGGAGCCTCCAGGGCCCCCCAGACACCCACCTTTCCTGGGCTTGGGGGAGCAGACGGGCCCTCGGACGATGGACAGAGCTTCTAGAGCTCATTCTCTCGCGCGTGTGCGCACACACACGCACACACCCTGGCTGATTTTACAGTCAATCTTTCAAAGTGCAATTTGTCTAGGAAAAGCCAATGCGAGGCCCGTGTGGCTCCGACCAATGGCGACGCAGCTCTCCCTGCTCAGCCAGTCTCTGGTCTGTATTCTAATGGGCCATATCTTTATCAGAGAAATGCTCCTTCTCTGAACTTAAAACTTGTCATGGAGGGTCCCCAGACTCAGAGGCAGAGGAGGGTCTGAGCTGAGGCGGGAGAGAGGGCAGGGGCACTGGGAGCCTCCCCTGCCCCGGGAGCACCTGAGCTGCAGGCAGCTGCCCTGAGCTGGGCGGGCCGGGCGGGCCGGGTGGGCCGGGTGCCCTAGTGCGAGGCGGGCCGGGGGCTTGGGCCAGCCCGACCCCTCCCAGCCTGCCATGAGAGCCTGGGCCAGAGCGTGGCGTCTCGGGCTTTAGGGCCCGGCTTCGGGCTTCTCGCCTTCCCTCCCCTGCCCTGGAGGTCATGGAGTCCAACCTGCAGGGGACGTTCCTGCTGAACAACACAGCGCTGGCTCAGTTTCCGGAGATGAAGGCCCCCGTGTGCCAGTACTCGGTGCAGAACTCCTTCTACAAGCTCAGCCCCCCGGGGCTGGGCCCCCAGCTGGCGGCGGGCACCCCCCACGGGATCACGGACATTCTCAGCAGGCCCGTGGCCACGCCGAACAGCAGCCTGCTCTCCGGCTACCCGCACGTGGCAGGCTTGGGTGGCCTCGGCTCGCAGGGGGTCTACTATGGCCCCCAGGTGGGGAATTTTTCCAAGGCTGGGAACGAGTACCCCACCCGGACCCGGAACTGCTGGGCGGACACGGGCCAAGACTGGCGAGGCGGGCGGCTGTGCAGCAACAGTGAGTACAGGGCCATCCTTCGCCCTGGCCACCACCCAGACGCCCCCGGGGGCAGCGGGAGGGAGGGGACCGGACTCCCACCTCCCCCGCTGCTGCCAGCCCACCTGCTCAGACACCTGCTCTCTCCTCAGCTCGGTGCAGGGCTCAGGCCCACCCTCTGCACACTCCCACCTCAGCTTTGCTTGGACACACATGTCTGACCCCACCCCTTACCCTCTGCCACCTCGGCTGCCCTCCACACAGCTATACTCACCCTGTGCGGGGCCCACGCACCTCACCTGCTTCTGCTGCCACCACTTCCTCACCCAGCGCAGGGGGATGCTACCCCCAGTGGGGAAAGCTCGGCACTGCGCCACCTCCCCAAAGAGCCCTTCCTGCCCTAGCATCTCCCAGGGACGCAGACTGCACCCTGACCCGTTGAGGTCCTGCCTGTGCACGGGGGCCCATTTCCCACCTTCCTCCCCAGGGTCTGTGTCCACAGTAGCAGGGACACCACCCAGCCTCCAGGAGCAGCTGGGGAGCCACACCGAATGTGGCCCTGGCTGCCAGAGGGGCTGTCCTCATCCTACCACTCCCAAGCCATGCGCAGGCAGGTGAGGCTCACCTGGGAGGCAGGGGAAGGTACAGTGTCTTCAGGAGCCATCCCGTGCCACCAAGGCCCACCTCTGTCTGATCTCTGGCCTCCCCCATGCAGTGGGGGCACACGCCTGCTTCCCTGCCTACCACACTGCTCAGGTGGTCACACTGCCCACCCTGTGCTCCACCTGAAATCGGGGAGTTCCATAGGGGTGAAAACCTCACCTCTTGGAACCCATTTTATAGCCTGGTTTTTGGGGTGCTTAAGCTTCAAGCTGTCTCCCCCTTACCTCCATCATCCACCCCCCACCCCGCATACCCTCTGCACGCCCCTCCTCTTCAATCCCGAATGCGCATGTGCACAGGAAAATATCTAAGAAAGTCAGTGGTGGAACTAAGGCAAAGGCAGAGAGTACCAAGGACGGTGGTCTCTCAGGAGGTCTCTTCCTCTTCTGTGCCTCAGTTTCCTCACTGTAACATGAGGCGAGGGGTCATGGGCTGGCAGATTCAACTGAACAAGGTGTACACTTGAGGACTCTGCTTCCCCAAGCCCACGGCCTGCAGCTCTCTCCTGAGCAGGCTGCTTGGACGGGCTGGGGGTCGGGGTCTCAGGCTCCCATGTCCAGACTCTCCAGTGTGGCTGAAGCCACCTGACTTCTAGGCCCGGTGACATGGGGAAGCAGCAGCTTGGAGCTTGAGGCTAACCCTTTCCTGGTTTTCCCAGACACCTGGGAAGTGAGGCCTGAGAGCAAGGAAATGGAGGGGAATTCATAGTCTCCTGGGGCCCTGTTGCAGGTGGAAAGTGACCTGTAGGGACATCCCTGGGATGAAGAGGAAGATCCTACCATCCCTCAGGGGAAGGCAGTGTCACTGAGTAGTGAGGACATTAGACAGCGGGGCTTGAGACCAGCACTGAGTGCCGGCTGCCCCTAAGTAGCTATAATCTGGGGCAGCTGTCCTCTCAAGGCCGTGCCCAGCCAGCCATGACAGAGGTCACAGGCACTGTTACCCAAATGTCAAGAACGCTGCCTGCGTAAAAGGTGCCAGGCCGCCCAGGCAATTTTGGTGGCTTCTCTGTAAGACGGAGCTTGCCCCATGGGAGAGGCAGGAAGGGCTGTCCCGCTGCAGGCAGTACAGTCCTTGGGGCCCTGCTCCTCCCACTGACTCCACACTTCCTTCTTCCCGCCAGCCCCTGACCCCCTGAGCGACAGCATCCACAAGAAAAAGCACACCCGACCCACCTTCACCGGGCACCAGATCTTTGCCTTGGAGAAAACCTTTGAGCAGACCAAGTACTTGGCGGGCCCCGAGCGGGCACGGCTGGCATACTCGCTGGGCATGACCGAGTCTCAGGTCAAGGTGAGTCTGTGCTGGGATGGGTCTGCCTCCCAGTGGGGGCCTGCTGGGACAGGGTGCTGCTGCATGGGAGAGAGGCAGCACTGCTTCCCAGTGACTCCCAGCTCCTCAGACAGAGGCCATCCTGGTGTCTGGGCACTGCCTGCCCACCTAACCTAGAGGTTGTCACAGTTGACCACAACAAAAAGGACATCAGCTCCTGAGCCCATTCTGGGCCTTGCATGTGGGAGCTCATTTAATCCTCACAGCAGCCTGGAGGCCGGCCTTGCTGTCCCTTCTACAGATGAAGAGACAATTGCAGTTGAGCCTGCTGCTTCTGGTCACCTGGCTGGTCAGGGCGGAGCTGTGGCTCAAAGCCAGCTTTGTGGGACTCCACATGTTTTTGTGTGTGTGCGCTCAGACTTTTCCTCTCCTCCTGGGTCTGAGCGTCTGGCCTGCATCAGGAGTGAGCCTCTGGGCCAATGCGAGCTGCATCGAGGCTTGATCCGTCAGCCAGCAGCTAGCCTTGGTTTACCTATCTTTAAGCCGAAGACAATATACCTGCTCCCACTCAGGCGCACCCCCAGAGAGATGCGCTGGGCACTGAGCCGTCCGAAGCCCGCAGCCAGCGCGCAGTTAGGAGGGCAGATCCGCCTCTGCACTGCTGGCCTTGGGAGCTGGGATCAGTGCCCCGTCAACAGGCCTGCGGGCGCCTGCTTGTCCCTCCTGACTCCCGGGTTTGGAGCACCAGGGAAGCAAGCTTTGAGCCATGCCAGACCCACCCGACACAGCGAGCTGGCAGCAGGTCTAAGGCAGTGCCAGGGCAGGCTGGCGCCTCAGGTCTGGGCTCTGCCTCTGCAGCCTCCTCGCTGGCCAGACGTTAACGCTCCTGGAGTGGAAGCTGATGAGTCTGAACGGAAGGGGTGCACAGGCCCCTGCGTATTCTCCTGCTTCTTTCTCTGCACTCTTCCATTCACTTGAGCAACGAACTTATGTTATTTTTCTCATTAGGAGAAAAGTTCTTCATGAGTCCGGCGAGGGCCGGTTGGCCCCTGAGCACCTGCTGCCGTGGCCCCCCGGGCTAGACGCCCCGACGGGCATCTCGGCGCCTCCACCCGGTGCTGAGACCCTCCAGGAGGCAGGTGCACCCCTGGGAGGCCCCGGCGAGCCGAGAGGCTGCCGCTCGCAGCCCGCTCCCCCAAAGCGACGGGAACACTACGATCCACTCCATTCTCCAGCCATTTATTTTACTATAGGAATAAGCATCACTGTACTTGTCACCAAGCGGAGTCGCCCACCCAGAGAGCGGCCCTGTGAGTCCTGTGTGCGCATCGTCCCCAACGTCTTTCTCACCCCAGGTGTGGTTCCAGAACCGGAGGACCAAGTGGCGGAAAAAGAGCGCCCTGGAGCCTTCGTCCTCCACGCCCCGGGCCCCAGGCGGCGCGGGGGCGGGCGCGGGCGGGGACCGCGCGGCCTCGGAGCACGAGGACGACGAGTACAACAAGCCGCTGGACCCCGACTCG